GCTTTTGGTGGGTGGGACCCTTGGTGCCGACAGTAGCTTTATAGTCTTTGATTCTGGTTCTACCGTAGTGGTATTTTAAAAGCAAAAGAATGTTTCAACTAAAGAATCGCATTTCTAATTAGCAAAGTTAAAAGCATTGAGTTCCTTCCTTTCATACTGGCACTTGGCAGCTAAATTTTGCCTCAACAACAGATTCTAAGCCTTATTTTTTCTTATCTTATATGCTCAGTGTGTAAACTCTGTAGTACCATTAATTGCATTTCCACCAGCCAGTTTCCCTAGCTCCAGATAGAGATTTTAAGCTGATGTGTAAGAGGAATAAATTCAGGAAGCAGCTTGAGATTCCTGGTGTATTTTCCTTTACATTGACAGATAAGGTGTAGATGGTTCTGGTCAAGCTCCTCTCTTGAAAATGTAAAGACAATAATAATTAGGAAATGTGGCACTAAAATTCCCAAAAAAGTCTATCACCAGAACTATTTGTTTGTTGCATTTACCTCTCACCTTTTGCAACAGTAAACATGTACTCATGTATACTGTATGATTCTCCCCCCCTCGCCCATACACACACTTTATCACTCCAACAGTCCCATAAGGGAAGCCATGGTAAGAGACTGTAGGTAAATTCTATTGTGGAACTACATGCGTGCAACTGAGGGTTGCACCCACAGTAACTATGGTAGCACCAAGACAGAAGTGGTATCCATTAAGTACTTGGACGGATGCAATGGTTTAGGCACTGGCCTAGATTCACAGATTGGGAGTTCGATTCCATACTGTGCCTCCTTGACAAGGCTTGGCACTTGAGGATCCATAGGGTCCCTTCCAGCTCTGCAGTTCTAAGATGATGGTGGTGATTATAATGAATCATTATTTATTGTGCAATTGGTTGCACTGGGGATGTATGGCCAGCTGTGCTACTGAATTATGTAGTTTCTTATTGCTGGGCATAACACCTGGTACATTTACATTGGTGTAACTTTACACCTGTTTGTGCTGTGAACAAGATTTGGCCCTATGAGTGGTTTGAGGTTTCACCTAGTGAATTGCGTAGCCAAATGGAGATTTGGCTACACAAGGCTCCTGTGTCATAGTTGGACACACTAACCACCTATTATTTATTTCATTTTATGCTGTCTTTCTCCCAGTGAAGGAACTGTACCACACTGGCTTTTAGAACTAGAGAGGTCGTTGCTTCAGAGGTAGGTCATAGCCTAGCAAGCAACTAAGAACTCTCTCTAAACTTTGGAATACTCTTCAGATGCAAGAAGAAAGAATATTCAACATTAATCTGTGAATGAAATGTCTTGCTTGACTAGGCCTGGTATAAATGTGATAGTATGTTGTTGTCTAATCACTGAATCATTGCGCTTTGCATGATGCACTTCAGACTCCAGCTTCTGCTGATTTACATTCTACAGACCTAGGTCCTAAATAGAATAAATTGTCATTGGGTCATAGGAAGTTGTTTTATACGGAATCAGACCAGTAGTCCATCTAGCTTAATATTATTGTCAGAGACTGACAGTGGCTCTTCAGTGGCTCTTAGATAACAGATGAGTTCTGCATCTACTGTATTTAGGTACAAAACAGCCAAGCTGTTTAAGAGTTGTTGTTTATAACAGTGGTTCTGAACCTTGCGTTACTCAGGTGTTTTTGAACTGCAACTCCCAGAAATCCGAGCCAGCACAGCTGGTGGTGAAGGCTTCTGGGAGTTGCAGTCCAAAAACACCTGAGTAACCCAAGGTTAAAAACCACTGGTTTAGAACATTCGATTTCATGACTGGGATAGGGGGTGGGAGATTGGCAGCCTCCGTCTATTACTAGAATTATAATTGACTTGACTGATAAAGAAAAAAAAATATGGCTACACTTTCAGTTCCAAGCTATATCCTAGAGAAATTACTGCCAGAATTTTTGAAAAGTAACTCTGGTTTTCTACAAAGCTGTTGGCATGTGGAAAAAAACACTCTCCTCTTTGGTGCCTCAACCCACAAAAGAACAGGAGACAGCAGCAGGAAACAGTGCTTGAACTGTGCAATTCCCCTCCCCTTACTTTTATTGAAGCCACATTCCTGTAACTACAAAAGGAACGTTAAGAGTTTGCCATTACATTGCAAAAAACATTATTTCTGAAGTTGTAGTTGTGATGTTATACCTTCATTATTGGAAAGGAAAAGAATCTCAAGTGACTTCTTATTTGTAACTGTTACTCGCAAGCTGGGTTGACATATTTATAAACTTGCATAATTAAGGCAACCACCATTTTAATAATAAAAGCACATACCACTAGTCTGCTGCATATGGAAGACTGGTGAATATTGGTGTTGGGAAGCAGAGGTGGTAAATTCTACTAGAGAATGAGGAGATGAACAAAAATTTCATGATATAGTAGGGGAAAGGGAGAGGGAAATTGCCATTCTTCCTGTCTGCTGTTAGAATTGTAATTGGCTTGACTGCTACAGAAACTAGAAGACTGCTGCCATATATTGAATTAGGAAAGATTTCCCTCATTCTTCTTATAATTGGAGTGAAGCACAAAGAGACAGAAGGGAAGGAATCACTCTTGGGGGTCTCCCCTCTTTCCTACAGCTGCACACAAGAGTGTGCTGCCTTTATCTTTAATAGCCTGAAAGGAATTGCTTTGACCCAGAGCATGGAGACGCAGCTGGGTATGTAGGGCGGGAGGGTGAACATTCCTTATCCCCTCTTAATCTTGGAAAGACTGCCTGGCATTGACATCTGTGGAGATGGGTGCTTTTTGCTGCTAGGCAGCACTTGGAGATAAGAGATGAAGCCTTTTCCCCCACACCCCAGCCTCTTTGATTTCCTCTTTCCAGATCTTTATTCTTTGTTACCTCTAGGAAGGAAGGAAGAATGCAGCAGCTGGTCAGTTTTCTATTACACTGGCCATGCTTAGTCCAACTGATCTTTATAGTGTACAGTAGGACCCACTTATCCACGGGATCAGTATTGACTGATTCACTTATCCATGGTCTGAAAATATTAAAAGAAAAAAAAAATCCAAAAAATCACATATTTTCACATGTATTACCAGAAATGGCCACTAGAGGACATCAGAGACCATGTGATGAATGCTTGTTAATAAAGAATACATAGCATGGTCTCTCACATCCTCTCAGCGCCCAGTTCTGATAAAGGGTGTGAAATTTTTTTTCATGTTTTTTTTTCCTTTTAACATACTGTATATATAGATCACTGTCCTAGCCCTCACTCAGTCATGATACATACTGGCTAACCCTGGGCAACTTAACTGACACTCACTCTGGTTTACCTTACAGGGTTGTAGTGAAGACAGTCTATGGAAAAGTAGTGCCACTTTATAAGACCCTGAGCTTTTTGGAGGAAAGGCCAAAAAGGAATGTAACCAGTTAATAACTAAAAATAAAATAATTCTCTTATAATTTTTTTTTAAAAGCTGTTATTCTAGAGAATTGGGAATGAAATACAGTAGAGACACGTGATAAATAAACCATGATTTATTTGATATGACACCAGCCCTGAAAATATAGCTGCCACATGGGCTACTGTTGGAATCATATCCCTATTTCTTAATCCCAAAGAGAAGATTCAATCATATAATGCTGAGTGAGAAAAATGCTTGTGTGAGGTAGTTCTTAACATGACGACTGTAAACATTAGGAATTAATTCAGTCAAGTAGTGGAGCCAACACTTGCAGGGTCAAAGCCCCAGGATGTACTGAGCAGCAGAGTCTATGAAATCATCTGCAACTCTTCCCAGGCTTCATAGATCCCTTGAGAACAGCTACATCCTTCAGGATAGCTGTAAGAAAAATGGATCCTTCCAGGAACAGTTTATTGTTTACAGATCTCTCTTCTGTAATATAAAATACTGTTTTGGTCTGAAATGGGCAACAAAGAGCCATTAACTTTACAAAACACCTGATTGTTCATATGAATAGATCCAGGTGCCTGCATTTTTGGACTCTGTTCATAGCTCGCTGTTGAGATGCTCATGAAGATCATTTGCATTTACAAATATATAACTATACCATGGATGTGTGATTGGGGGCCTCCAAACAGGGATGTGTAAACAAATGGCTTTAAGATATTTGTTTTCTGGAGCTGCCCATGTGCTAGGTGGGAAAGGTGCTGGTTATGTACACACATACCTTTTCCACCCAGCACATGTGCAGCTTTGTCTGGTTAGGCCAAACAAACAAACAAACAAACAAACAAACAAACAAACAAACAAACAAACAAACAAACAAACAAACATGTACTTTTCCATAGCAAGCTGCCAATTTTATCATGAGTCCATCATGCCATAATTCACTTATTAACTGATAGAATCTGAATTACTTCTATCATGCAAAACAAGACATCTTGCGATCAAAGATGAAGATTCCTCAAAGTCATCAACTCAGTTTCTTTTTGGCAAAGAAAAGCTCCAGTTTATTATTAGGAATTACTTGGAAAGGTCTGAAAGTAAAATTGTGCATGAATAGAGGACCACATTTGAAATATTGTAGCAATTTCATTGTCACCTGGATTCTAAAAAAAGAGAAAAGGCAGAAATGGGTAACTTAAATTTGCTATGAATAAGATGAATTTTCCTGAAGTTTAAAACTGTATTTCTCTATAGCTTTGCCTTTAAAGTCACTGAGTCAGAACCAGGACTCCAGATTTCAAGATCCAATGTGGTGTGGTGGATAGACTGGTAGACTAGGATTTAGGAGACCTGTGTTCAAATCCTTGCTCAGTCTTGGAAATTTGATTGGGAGGCAGGGATGGCCCTGGCAATGGTAAAGCATCCCATGAACATCTCATACACCTTGAAAACCCTATCAGACGGGATGTACACATGTTTTGGTTAGTATGATCATATGTTTATTTATTAAGAATATTTTTATACTAATCTTCTTTTTACAATGCCAGAACAGTATTTAAATGGCAATATAAATCATTAATAAAATTAAGGCATATAAATATAACATTATTTCTTTCTATCTTTATAGGTATATATCATAAAAGTAACCTGGTCAGACTCAACTTGCCAGACAATCTACCGGAGATACAGCAAGTTCTTTGACCTCCAGGTAATGATCTGATTTGTTTTTTTTTTCTTCTGTAAAAACATTCTTAATGATCTTGGTTTCATAGTACACGGCTTGAATCTAGTATATTCAGAGGATGTTGCAGACTTTGCAGTATTTCAGAAACCAAGTTCAAAATGTTCAGAAGTTGGAATGAATATCATCTTGAACAGAGTTTCTAAAAGTTATTTTTGAAGTATAGCTCCTAGAATTCCCTAGTCAGTGGCTTTGCTACCGAGGAGATTCAAGGAAATTATTATTTAATAAAGCAACTTTTTGAAACAGTTATTTTGGTGTTTGTTCACTGAGGAAAGTCTTGCCATTATGCTACTCTATAGTCTTTCCTGGTTGCTAGTGGTACAGTTTCCGCTTTCATCCTGAAAATAGGGTGTTCAGAGTCTGCATTTGGCAATTGCTAGGAATTTCCCTCTTAGGGTTTTGCTTTCTGATTGTGTTTCTATGCTTTTGACACTTCATCCATGTCTGATGATATCCCCTTTTACCAGCTTCTTGGAGAGTTTCCCTTTCTTGAACTCTCTGCACCAGATTTCTTAACAACCTCCACTACAATCTTCAAAGCCTGAGTTCATCAGCTTCAGGCCAGTGGCAGTATTCTCCCTAGTTGTTGTTTAATTGTTTAATCGTGTCGGACTCTTCATGACCCCATGGACCAGAGCACGCCAGGCCCTCCTGTCTTCCACTGCTTCCTGGAGTTGGGTTAAATTCAGTGGACCACCTTGTCCGGTGATCCTCAATTGCTTTCAACCTGTGACACCGGATACTGTGGACAAAGTGCTTGATCGCTGCCGTGCCACCACCTCCTCCCTTGACCCTTGCCCAGCCTGGCTGATCAAAGCAGCCAGGCCTACAACGACCAAATGGGCCACAGCAATTATTAATGGGTCTTTCCTTGAGGGCAGGGTTCCTCCTGCTCTCAAGGAGACACTCATTAGGCCCATAAGAAAGAAACCTAATTTGGCGGCGGACGAAATTGGCAATTACAGGCCCGTCGCCAATGTTTCTTTCATTAGCAAAGTGGTGGAGAGGGTGGTGGCTGACCAGCTTCAGGCCCTTCTGGATGAAACAGATGCCCTGGATCCATTTCAGTCGGGCTTAAGGCTGAGCCATGGTACAGAAACGGCATTGGCCGCCCTGCACGATGACCTGTTGAGGGAGGCTAACAGGGGTAAAATATCTCTGTTGGTCCTTCTCGACATCTCGG